ATTTTTCTTGGCTTGTCAGTAACTTAGTCTTTCATGGTTTTACTGGTCTTCCTGAGATAATACAGTCAGTCTGGAGCCAAAGGAAAGCCATTCTCTATTCTCAGCGCAGCACAAGGATGCAGTAACCTGAGTCATCCCCAACCTAGCGAGCAAATGGTTTCTGTTGCTGACATTTGCTGGCTAGGAGAGCAGCGGCATGGCATCTGCCACGGATAAAAGTGTGCTGGGCATTATACCGTGCCCTGGGCTCCATGATGAAGATATGTTGCATTAGTATCAGCCAAGGGGGAAGGAGCCAGGGAATCCAGCCATCAGTCTTCTGCACGGAATTTGCCAAAGCAAAATCAGTTCACGTGTTCTAACGGCCATCTGCCCTTTCGAAGGTTAGATTTCATAACAAACCCTGGAAAAATTAGGTAAGCCTCCTTTTACCTCCTTCCCTCCTCTTCTGCATTCTGATGAGTAGAATGTTATCATTCATTCAGAGCAATGCTAGTGTTCAGGAGCAGAAAGGCAGCCTGGCATCATGTCCGTAGAGGGGCAGCAGGCTTTTCCAGGTTCTTCCTGTTCATGTGTCAGTTAGGGAAGAAAAATTTCCTTTTTTCTTGTGTGCCTCCGCTAATGAACAAGAATGTAGCAAATGGGTGCGGTAGCACTAACAAGGTCTTGTCCTTCAGAAATTTTTTCTTTGGCTAAATTCCAGCGACTTGTTGCAACACTATTTGATTATAAGGAAGAACATAATATGATGAGTTGTTACAGGTGGAATTTTTCTCCTTTTGGAAAGTTTGAGCTTTTTTTAACAAGTGCTAAGTGTTCTTAGGTCCTACTGATTGCCTCCAGGACTTTAGGACGCTCAACCTCTTTTGATCTCAAGGGCCAGTGGAAGAAATCGTAGGAAGGAATTCTATTACTTTATGCACTTTGTTGCATTGAGACAAAAAGGAGAACACTTTTACAGTTTCATGGTTTGACATTTCTTCATTAGTTCTTTCTTTTAGAACTTGCTTTTGTGTGTTGGAGCGTTTTGGGGTATTTTAGAGACACAAAGAATAAAATAAGAAGGAATAATCTATTTTATGCAAAGAATTGTTTAATAGGATTTCGCTCAAATCTGTGTTTGGCTCACTGCAAATGGAAAATTGCATCTTTCACCAACCTATTTGTGATGGCTGTTGTAACACATAACTTGGAAACATACCAGAAGAAATAACATAAGGAAAGATCTGTGAGAAGCAGAATAATTATTTTAAGGACCTCATCGTTCTTGGGGCCAATAGAGTTATTATCTGTTAAGCCTGACGTTTAGATCTAATCCAGAGAACAGTTCCTCCCATGAACGCTCCTTACGCTCCTGGCTACTTACGTTAACTTCTGTGGGACTACTTTTGTCTTAGATTTACAGAACTGATCTTTAATGGGTAGCAATCTGTCCTTACTACAGTGGGAAAAAACAGGTGAAATATTGAGTTGCGTGAGGGCAGAATCTGGACCCGTTCATACAGAGAGCAAAGTTATTTTTCTTTTCAAACAAACGAACCAGTATAGACACATGGTTTGGAGGAGATTTGTTTTTAATTCTCAGTATATTTGACCTTCAAAAAGACTGGTAATAATGTAATTCACACACAGGTGTGCTGCCTACAAGCTCAGCTCCTTGTTTTGTCTGTGCAGCTGAGAGCAGTGAAAACAATGAAGCAGACACATTGGGTTCCCAGTGAGAAAAAAGAAAACTGGCAGCCTTTCCCTGCTATATTGTATTGTTAAATATCTCTATTTAAATGCAAATGATCATCTGACACTGCCAAACAAAGTCATGTACCAGGAAGCAGGCGTGCAAGTTAAAATTCTTTAAAAATGACTTTTGAAGATGCTGGATTACTTTTATTTCCAGGATGAGTAGAGCTGGCTGAGTACGTTTTTGGTTGCATGCTGAGGATCAGCTCACCTAGGATTTCCAAATACAAGGATTTTTATATTAAGTATAGCTTTTGCAGAAGTGTAGGAGGCCTCTCTAGTCAGAAGGCACTTGGAGGGACGCTTGAAGTTTCTTCCTCTGTGTTACCTTACTATACAAATTGCAGTGAAACGCCCAGTGCATACAATGTGCTTCAGAGCGGGTAGAAGTCAGGGCAGAGGGAGAAGAAACAGCCAAAGTGATACCTCATTCTGCTTCAGGAATGTGCGGTTAACCAGTGATCTGTGCAGTGCTTCATCCTGTATCCAGCTGCAGGACTTCTCCTGAGCTAACTGTGCTCTGAGATTTGACCATGAGCAAGAGCAGGGAACACGAGCCAGAGTCTGGCAGGAGGAGGAGGTGCTGCTGCCCGCGGGTTAGGGCTCCTCCCTAGCTTCCCGCGTTGCTCAGAGACCGGCAGCGTGCTCCGGCTCTGGTGATGAGCAAGCAAAGGCAGGGATGGAAAGGTTATTTGAACGTGCAGCCAGGACCCTTCCCCTTTCTGCCTGCTCTGTTGGTCAGGGATAGCCAGTTAATAAAATCCACTTCATGGGGATGATTTTTATCCACTTGGGTGAGCAACAAAACCAGCAAACAAACGGTATCTTACTAAGGGGCTCTTCTGTGAAAATTCTTCCTCATTTTTGCTGTTTGCCTCGCCTTCTTTTTAAATTTTTGTTCTTATGAAATCAATTTTGATGTATCAGCTTTCTGCACAGGGCTACAGTAGCCTCTTAACAGTAATAATAATCATTATTACTGATTAAAGTTGCATTATTCATGCCAGATGGAGTGCCCTCACTGCCAGCCAGAATGAGCTTGCATTTATGGAGTTATAATGCATTTGCGCTCTGAAGAAACAGATGGTAGAACGCGACAGCAGATTAGGTGCTGGTGATGTCAGCAACAACGCTTCCCAAATATAATTGCTCTCAGCGAACATGAATGCAGCAAGGAGCCAACAGTTTTAACAAGGTAGTTGGCACACAGAGTGTAATTACTATACACATAATCAATAGTGCTATCAATGCTGTGCAAGTATCGGAGCGAAGATCAGTAGTTTTGAAAAAGCAGTGACACAAAGTGCAACTTCACACTGTAACAACATTGGTTTTGCTCACATATTTGACATATTATAAGTACATTGCAAGCAGAGGAGCAATGTTTTCTTTTGGGGTGATCCAGCCTTAGCCGAGAGACCTTTTTGCATTTTAACCAACAGCGCCTCCAAAGCGGGAGCATGTGGAAGGTCTTTGATCCAGTGCAGAGTGTAACAACGGGGCTGTATGCACAGCAACAGCTATTACTACGGGATTGAAAGGTTCCCGATGACTTCAGCGAGCTTTTGGATCAGGTTCGAAGTGGACGTTTGCTTAGTAGGTTCTCCATAGTATTCAGTGATGAATAAAAGTTTAATCAAAGATGAAGCTAGGGTACTGTCGTAAAAAGAGCAGAGATAAAGACTGCTCATAGTCTTTAACAGTGCTTATGTCAGGTCTCTCTGTTAGTCGCTTGAGGTGCGTGATTCAGGCACTCGATGCCTGCACCTCAGGCACCCTGACCGCTCTGCTTGAGCTGCTGGGACGCAGGTGCAGCAAGGCAGGCTCTCTGGGCAGGCTCTGGGGGATTTGGGCACTTCAGGAGGGCGAAGCACTAAGAAAGGGAGCATGTCCGAGCTCTGGCCTGAGTCTGGATGGGAGCTGCAGAATGAGGCCTCCGTTCCCTCACTGGCAGGACTGGCGTGGTACTGCTCAGGTGTTTTCCCAAATACTGTGAGATGCAGCCAGAGGAGGACGTGCCAGGACCAGTCCTGCCTGCTTTCCCTTTCCCTGCTCAGTGCTTAGCATTTACCCGTGAAATGGAAGGCGTGACTTCAACTCCTTCCTCTGTCCCAGAAGGTTTCAATCCCTACTTATGAGGTAGTTTATAAAGGCCTGCCCTCTGCAGCTGATAATGAAAGCACCCTCAGCTCCTCTTCTGTTGGGGGACTGATCTCAGTGGTGTGCATATGGGCTTTGTTGAGTGTCACCTCCAAAATCCCATTGCTTTGCTGGCTCTGAGGCAGGTGCTGCAAGTGGCCCTGCTTTGGCCATAGCACCGGGGGGAAGCATCATGAAACACAACTACAGCTGCAGGTGAGTAGAGAGCTTTCAGTCAGAAAAGGAAGGGTCTTGTGAGTTTAAACATTGTTGGAGTTACATAGCTGCACAGGGATTTCCATTGTCGTGGTTTTGGACTACGTGTGTGAAGACTGTGAAAGCTTTTGGGGGAGGAGGGTGGCATTTAATTGCTTTTATTCAGAGGCACTGAGTTTATTGCCCTGTTGTTCAGATGAAACTGTGTATCTTCTCCTGCACGGACATTCCTTTTCCTGTGGAGGGATGAGAGGGTCTTATGTAGGACACAGAGTGTAACCATTGGGGCCAGACTCTTCTCCGTGGTGCCCAGCGACAGGACAAGAGGCAATGGGCGTAAACTGAAACACAGGAAGTGCTGTCTGAACATGAGGACAAACTTCTTTCCTGTGCGGGTGACTGAGCACTGGACCAGGTTGCTCAGGCAGGTTGTGGAGTCTCCTTTGCTGGAAATATTCAAAAGCTTCCTGGATGCAATCCTGGGTGGTGTGCTCTAGGTGACCCTGCTTGAGCAGGGGGGGTTGGACTAGATGATCTCCAGAGGTCCCTTCCAACCTCAACCCTTCTCTGATTCTGTGATTGTATTAATAGCACTGGAGAATGAAACTGTTCCTCAGTCCTGCTAAGTTAGTCACCTTTTCTGGTTCTAAAATGTTCTAGTAATTGCACGTAGCAGAGAGGGATTTTGGCTATAAAGCATTAAGATAAGTACCTTAATTTCATATATGTTTGACACCAATTCTGGCTATTTTTCTGGTCTTTTTATAGGTACTGTTTCAACCTGAGCAACGCATAAAAAGCGTCCTAAGACAAGAATGGCTTCTTCCCTTGAGCACTCTCTGGAGGCTGAAGAATGAAAGGAAGCTAAGTTTCTAATCTCTCTCCCTCTTTTTCCTTCTGTCCTGAAGGTGGCCGATGCCACAAGTCATGCACTGGACGATGCTGGGGACCCACAGAGAATCACTGCCAGACCTGTAAGTATGCAAGACTCTGAGAAATAAGGGACAGGAAAATGGTGTAGAAGGGATCCTACGTTCCTTAATTGGAAACGGACACTCTAATTTCTGCCTTTAGCATAATTTAAGAAATATTTTAAGATTTTTCCTGTATGTTTTTACCAAAAAAAAGTTTTGTTTTCTTTTCCCCCATGAGAATTTAGGTTTTACTTTCCTCCTTTGTGCTCTTAAAAATCTTAAGCTAGCTCAAATTTTATTTTGACTTCTTGGTGGCAACATAGAGCATGACTCTTGAGATTACTAATGGTTGTTTTGGAATACATTGAGATGAATCCTACAGGAATGCAAAAAGCTACAAGGCAGATCCTGTGATTTTTTTTTTTTTAAGGGTGGCCTGACGCTGCAAAGTCCCTAATGCCCAAATATTCTGTTAATTTCAGTGGGAACTTGGAAGTAACAGTTATCTTGCAGAATTGTTCTCTTTATAATAACTTCAGAAGGTATTGAGTTCTACTGAAAGAGAGAATAAAGGGTTTTTGTAAAGGAAGTAGTAAGGGAAGGGTTGTTCACGATGTCTGCCCGTTCTCTTGCATTTAGAGAGTGGATAAAAAGGAAGAACTATACTGAGAGTTTCTTCCTTACGTGCTTTCAACCCATCCAGACAGGCACTAAAGAGCTAGAAGTGCAGTCACAGTATTAGCAAATATAAAAGAGGAGAAAGTTTAGAGCTGTCTTTTCCTACAAGACTATTTCCCCCCAACACAGGCATAGAGGTATCCTCTGCATTTTCTTCCTTTGTAATTTAGCGTGGTGGAAATTGATTGGGTTTACTGGAGTCACCCTTCATAGGAAATCAAATGGTTGCTAGTATCTCACCAGGTGAGCACTGTTCAAGCTTGTGCTTGTTTCCCTGGCTGAGCAGTTGTAGATAGCAGTTGTAGATAGGAGTGGGACTTGTGACAAATCAACCACTGTCAAGCCAGTGCACCGGCTAACTCTCTGAACTGAGGATAGCCCAATGTCAACTGTCTTTTTTTGTTGGAAATATTAGAAATAATGCAACTATACTTTTTTTGCGGAGGAGGGGCTTCTTGGGGCATGAGATAACAGGAAATTACAAGTGGCAGATAGCTTGACGTGAATGTTGTGCAAGCACTGGCGGGGATTTGAAGCTGAGCTCCTGTCCTAGTGGCATGAGGAGCACAGACGGCTGAGCTCCGTGCCCCACGGAGGCTTTGCACCATGCAGGGCGCTGCTTTTCGTTCTAAAACGTCAGCTAACGTCGCTGGCAAAAGCCTGTGATGGTTAAAACTCCACTAAACTTAACACATTCTTAAACTACTATTTCATACTGGACTTTACGTACTGGTGTGATCAAAAATGCTTTAGGGCAGGTTGTAGGAATAACTGTATAATGAACTGGGTATGGTGATACTAAGCTGATTCTTCTTTGGCCTGGCTTGAGCTAATGCATCTCCCTACTTTTGTTAGCAGTCTTTATGAATGCCACAAATAAGTCAGGGCTGAAAAAGCTTCCTCACATGACGATTATACGCTGAACTACATAGCAGAAAGGGGGTTGAACCCTAACTGAGCAGAATGATTTTTATATCGTGACCAAATCAGAATTAATTAATGCTAGCTCATTCTCTGCCCTAATGAGAGGGCTGTTGCTCTACTAAAAATAATTATGCTGCAAGAACCTGGGTAATTCATCCAAACTTGGGTAGACTTATTCAGGCCTTGGAACCGTTATGTGGTTAGCTCATGAGAGAATATTATAATACCTTGGCTATTATATGATGTGAGGATAATATGATCCTGGCTCAGGCCTAGGCTCCAGCCTCTGCAGCATTATATAGAGTTGATAAGTCCAGCTGGAACTGTGTGGCTACAGAAGTCCATGCTGCAGGATCAGCTTCCAAGGTCTCACCTGCTACAAAGTACTGCTTTCAGATGAGTGAACTGATTTAGTGGATTAACGTAGTAATACCAGAGAGAGCAAAACTTATCTGCAGTGTTGCTCTGCAGTCAGAAGCTCAGCAGAGCTGTACAGCAGGTTTACTGCTGGAGTGACAGCTATCTCTCTTCATGACGACTGCCCCTTCAAATCGGAACAGTGGGGACAGGCTAAGGCACGACTGTGGAATTAAAATAATAAACCGCAGAAAAGCATATGTTATCTAACTTCCCGGAATAACATATTTAATTTGAAATAGCTGCTCTATACCCCTTTCCTTTCAAGCACGCTCTCAGTGTAGTTCCCTGCAGCCTCTGATTATCAGGGACAGGGAGTTAATTTTGGTGTATGCTTCGCTTTTCCCTCCCTGACCTCATGTCGCCTTGGGTAAACAGTAAGATTTAAAGAAAAGGCTGATGTGATAGGCTGGCAACAGGCATTTCCTTCATAACCTTCAGTGTGCTTTTTCAAAATTTGTTTTTCTGCAAATTGATTTTAGCAAAGAAAAACTCAAAATATAAAAATCCGAGCAGTGTTGTGCTTTTGCTGCCATCATTTCTGTCTTTAAAAAACATACCCGACTTTCAAGCTCATAAATGATATTCTTAGATACAAGCTGGAGACAGGATGAATGGTATCACACAAACAGTATATACCCTAACCTAGTCACCTTGAAAGATGCATGTCTTTCAAACGTGTGCAGGAAAACGTTTCTACAGTACTGCAGCCCAAAGTCAAAATATTTTGTTCTTAAAAGCAGAACTCAGAGATGCATGTCTACATTTTAGTAATTTCATATTATTTATTGATCCACTGAAGCAAAAATTTGTAATGAGACCCCCCTCCCAAGACAAGATTTAAATTATTTTCCTGGGAAAAGGATAAAATCTGAAAGATTTCACTGGTCAAATATGGCCGGGGTTGGGGGGGGGGGGGGGAGAAAAACAACAGGATCCTTTTGTTTTTGCATGGATATCATCTACCTAGCTGCTGCTTATGCTGCCTTCCAGCTATTTTTCCTCTCTCTCTATCTTAAATCTGTCTGAAACACCACCTGCATCTGAGTCTGACTAATATCCCTCTAAATATGAAATGAAAATGTATGTATTTAAGAGGGTAATTAATAGGAAATTTTAAATAAGCTGTTCCATTAAGGGATAGAGAGGAGATAATTTCGGGGTACTATATTATGCATTTAACAATCTATTTTTGTTTTATAATTAAAATATTAGTAAATACTAATATCAAAAACTTAGAGGGTATTCTTTGTTTCAGTATCACGATGGGCTCAGGTGGAAATTGTTAAAAAGGAATGTTTTTCATAGGGCATTTGGCGTCCACTAAACAGGATGTAAACTACTTTGAAGTTCAACACACAGGGATATAAAAGCTTTTGGAAGTTACTAATAACATTTTAAAATCTATGGTTAGGCTGTTATTGCTTTTGCAGTTGAGGTCTATTAAGGGTTTTTTTCCTTCTCATATGAAAAGAAATTGAAACTTTTATAAATTAAGTACATTATTTTATTAAAATGACAGATTGTGCACTTTGTCCTAAAGGAATGTCATTGCAAGAAAAGAGAACAATCTAAATTAAAATACAGTCCCAACTAAGGGAATGCAAAGAAGGCAAACAGCCTTTAAATCAAACCTGAAACACAAACATCCAGCAAGTGTAAAATGCTGCACGTCTGTGTATGTGTACAGGAGTTTGGCCGGAGCATAATTGTATTTATACAGTCTTTGTGCAGCTGATGTTGCTTAGAAGAAGAAGGTGCCGATGCAGTAAGTACCCAATTAGAGCAAAAAGAGGGCGAGCAGGAGCCTGGTGGGGGAGACGGAAAGAGCTGAACCAGCAGCTTCGATCAATCAGGGCAACCTAGCATTTTTGCTTGGAGCCAGCATCTTTAATTAAAATCCTTGTATTTCACTAATAACTTTGCATGTTCATAAGACTTTTTCATTGATTTCAGTTAGTTCCCATTTTTTCCTTCATAGATTTATAGTGCCCTGACATAATTAAAGATTAAGGGAAACAATAAGAGAGACTGACTGATTACACATACATACAAAGTATCCATTCCGCCCTATCCCCAACACAGTTTATTGCTATCACAAGGAAATACTAGGAAAGGATTGACAACCAGCGTTCTGCATTACTCCTAGAAAAGGACCCCAGCACAGTGGCATGTCTCATCATAAACTTGACGTTTGCCACTGCTCTTCACAGTGTCACGGCCAAGGCCCGTAACAATGTGGAGCCTCAGATCGCATGCGCTCCCACCAGCAGCCAGCGGGCCTTGGGGCAGGTAGTTGTGCTGACCCTCAAAAGTCTGATTTGAAACTCGGGGCCTTAGTTCAGATTAGTGAAGGCTTTCCTCCGGGTACGTTGTCCTACGTGAAGGAGAGCCAAGTGTCTGGCAGCTCGTGTGCTTGTGGGTGTCCCCTACCCAAACTCCACCTGCCTCTCACATATACGCCTGGGCTGCTAGAAGGACCAGCTGTCACCACTGTCCACCATCTCACCCTGTAAATAATAGCCGCCTACGTTAGCCGGAAGAGGAAGAGCTCAATATTGCTCTGCTCTTCTCTCTCGGCTTGCTGCAGGGTTGCCCTGCCTTGCTGCTGCCGCCTGTGAGCAGCTGCTGTCCCGTTTCTCTCCATCTATCCCCACTCCGTTCCCAGCGCTGTCTTGAGCCATGTGTCTCCTGCAGGAGCCACCCAGCAGCACCTAGCAGCCGCAGTCCTCCATATTCCCCTTGCAGCTGCAGTCATCCTCCACTGCCGCAGCACCTGGGCCAAGCGCCGTTCCCTGGGAGCATCTCTCTGCACCCTCAGCTCAAGGCCTCGTCACTCCTCAAGCCCTCCCTCCCCATCCATCCACCAAGGGGTGCTATGTATGGCTCTGCAGGCTATCCCCTGCTACCATGCAGGCCCGGCTGTTTTGACTGAAATGCACTACCTGTAAGCTAGCTTGGTACATCGTTTGTAGCCACGTGTTGTGTCCCCCCTCCATGACTTTGCAAGTTAGGAGGACTCCTAGATGAGGTGACTGAATATATAGTTTGATGTCTTGGGTAGAACAGCAGCAGCAAATACTCACCTTTACGTTTCGCTCTTTTGGATAAGTCTTGATTCACAGCTATACAACAACTTGATTGTATTTGGAGGAAGGTTATAAAAGATGAACTGGCATGGTTTTAAAGCTGTGCAGCTATGTTTATTTTCTCTGGGGCTACCCCATGATAATGACAGCAGGAAGTTGAACTGTTGAGTTATGTTCACTGGAATCCAAACAATCAGGTTGTTTAAGGACGTCAAACAATAGATAGTGATGCCTTTTATTTGTTTTGCTTCTGGGGAAAAACCCTTTGCTGCCAACTGTCTCGAATATGATCCGTAAAAACATTCAGAGCTAATCTTTTTTTCTGTCTTCGTGTAAAGTGCCACTGAAGGTATCTGACAGCTCCTCTTCAGAGCTGGACCTTCAATAGCAGTTGTAATGCAAATACAGCAGGCAGTGACCCAGGAGATAAATGAGGTATGCTGTGGCCTTTTCCTAGAATGAAATGTTGGCATTTCTGTTGGCATTGTTTGTTTTCCCAGTAAAATAAACAATTAGGGAAGAAGAGCAACAAACTCCTGCTGTAATTGTAGATTTTGCAAACCACTTTAACTTCCTAGTCTTCAGGAAAAGTCAAAATGTTTTCCCTTCTGAACAAGGTGGTAGAGGCCCTCATTAAACAGGTGCCTAAGGGTAAGCAGAGAGTACATTTACTCAAGGCACTATGTTTTAGTGTGCTGAAAACGGGGCCATAATTCTCCGGATCAGTCACTGGAGTGTAAGGGGTGTCCTTTTTTTAGAAGGAAACATGCTCTGGAATAAATTGTTTTGGTCGCTTAAAAATGCAAGGAATTAAAAATGGCAATATCTGTAAACACTGTACGTGGCACAAGCCTTAGAGTGAGGCTCTAGAGGAGGGTGAATAATTTGGAAGGTTTTTTGTCCTACCCTAATAGTATGAAAACTGCTGAAAAGGTGTCAGTAAATTGCTTAAATCCATTGCTGTTGTTGGAGCTTGTTTCCTATGGCTGTTTAAACTATGCAGCCTAGGGAAGCACTATTATCTGCAGCTCAGCTTGAAGGAAATGTGTAATCCTTTTTTTTAAAAAAAAAAAAAAAAAGCCTCTTGGCTTCCTAAAAGGAACAGCTAGTGAGTTGACAAGAAGACTGTGCCTCTTCCTTCACCCGAATACTGCAGGGGAGCAGTTAGCGTGGTTCGTGGGTCACGGACACCAGGCACGGGAAGGGCAGGTCTCTCCTGCTTCCTCTCTAAATGGAGGGATTCGCCTCTCTTTGCCTTGCTTTTGGGGGACTTTTTTTGTGGCCTCTTCGCCCTTTGGCAAGTCTTCTCCGGCTGTCTGCCAGGAGACCTCCTGCCCAGGGAAGCGACGTTCACACCGCCAGGACGTTCCTTCCTTTCCCGTGGTGAGCTGGGCGCGCGGCCCTGCAAGACGAGGCAGCAGAAGGCAGAGGGGAAGCCCTGAAAGGAGGGAGTGACCGAAGGATGAGCGGGGACGGAGGCCGCTTCTGCCGCCCCCTGCTAACCTCAGCCTGCGCTGAGGTGAGGAAACGATATAGCAGCAGCGACGAGGATGCCTTGTGATTTGAAACGCAGCTCCCATGACTGACTGGTTTCCCTGACGCAGCGAGTGTTACCCTGGCTTCCCCAGGCCGCAGGCAGCGGATTGCTTTGAATGTTAACTAAGTGTGTGGCCCACGCTCATTTATTCCACGCGCGGCTGCTTCACACCTGAATTTTTCAGGTTTAAGCAAAAGGTTAAATCGCCCCGGAGCGAGGGCGAGGAACGCTTCTCAGCGGCATCTCCCCGGTTCGGGCTCCTAGTCGCTCAGCCTCTAACGCAAGCTGCTCCTTAAAAAGAAAACATCGGGAGATGCCGCTGAGGAGACACCAACCCCTGCCCCTGCCTGGAGATGGAGCCTTCTAGAAGGGGGGAGGAGGGCGGTACTGAGCATGCTCGGTGGGGGAGGGGTGGGCGGTACTGAGCAGGGTGGCCCACCGTCGAGGGCGAAGCGGGTGGCACGCGGTCCGGCACGAATCGCGGCGCTGCGGGCCGAGTTGTGAGCTGGCAGGGATGGGTCGGTGGTCGTGGACGGGACGCCGCCTTCCTTGGTTCACGCGAGGCGAGACTCTTCCCTGTCAGCTGATGGCGGGGTGGCGGCGTACCGCAAGTCGCGCATTGTACTTACCGTATGCCACTGCTTTGCGTTTCTGCGCAAAAGAAGTGTTTTCTCTCTGTGGGTTTTCTGTCTGGTATCAGCAAGATAGAATTGCTCTAGAAATATGTCACTGTATTCCTTGGCTTCTAAATGACAGCCTCTCCTTGCTTATTTACGTTTTTATCTCCTAAATAAATATGGATATCAAGAGGCTTTGGCATTACCTGAAGTTTTTCCAGTAAGCGATGGGAGAAGTCTTATTGGAAAGTATTTATAAAAGGAGTTGTCAATACATTAAACAGTAGAATGGAGCAGAAAGTTGGAAGGGTTTTTGCATTCTCTGACCTCTTGAAAAGTGTTTTCCATAGAGAAGCAGTGAAATGCTTTGAGCAAAATAATTGGTAGAGGTTAATGATAGAAGTGTGACATCCCTGCTGCTTATCAAAATACAGCTGACAGCACAACTTCCTAACATGCTGTAAGTAGTGGTCTGTATAGTCTGGAAAATGTTAATTTCTCTTCCCCCAAGATAAAGAGGCAGGTAGAGTATTCAGTGCTTTTATCCTTTCAACTGGAATCACCACCTGTAGATTTCTGTGGATGAACAGGATTGCCTTCTGCTCAGAGGGTGTCCGCTTTTATGAAGACACTCCTGTGCTTATCTTATGTGCAAGACATTTATATTGTGTGCTGGGATCCTTCCTTGCAAGTGCTTGTGTGGAACAGTGTTATGAGTTCATAGGAAAATCAAGTGGTTGTGGATGCATGCATATATTTAAAATTGCATATACAAAAATAGCCAAGTCCTCGATGAACCTCTCCAGCATATTACTGACCACTTCAGCTACTTGCAGCTGGTTCAATATCACTACTTCCTTTAAAAGCTCTTTGAGTGCTCAGTTAGACATACATGCTATTTCTTATTCCCTAGTTGCTGGGGATTTTTTTCTAAGTGTCAACGTGTAGTGTGATTGTAAGTGTGGGCTCCCGGTTCATCTGTCACCAGTTTAATTGGGTCAGACTTACAGGGCTAGCAGAAATTTTGTTGCGTTATGATGTGAAAGACATTGGGCCAAACTATGGCTTGCTGTAGTCATTCAGGAAAGATTGGTTCATGTGTTGATGTAACTCTTAGTGGCACAATAGCTAACGTTTAAAAGAAATGGTAATACCAAAGTGCTGGGTGAGGGGAGGAAGATACCCCCCTTACTGACGGTCCTTTGCAGAGGACTGAGCGCTGAGGTGGAGTAGTGTGGTGGTGCTTTAAATCCCTGCGCTTGCCATTTGGTAGAATACAGTCATTTCCCTAGCAGTCAAGACTGGATTGTGCTATGTAGGAAAGGATGTGTGGTGTTTCCGAATGTGTTTCAAACCGCAGGTGGTATTCTGTTCTGTTATTCCTTTGACTGTTTGTCACGTCGATTGCCATCGAGAACAGCGTTTGGCTCTGAGATTGCTGGCCTCACTCTGAATTTCTGCATGCTTTGTGCTCAGAGTTGCAGTTCTTCACAGGGAGGGGGAAATCACATGGAAGTGGCAGGCTGATCTGTTACTTTGTGTTTTTTCTCTGATATCCTTCTATCAACTTCCTAAAACTCTAATAATCTGAAATTCAGTGTTCCACCTCATACTCCAAAGGTAAGAGCAAACACCTCAATTCTTCCCTCGCAGTCCCCTTGCAATGTCTTTGTTCCCGAGGAGGGTATTACGGAGGATATGAGTGACCAGTATCGCTCAAGCAAGTACATTAAAACTTTGTGCTTTTTTTCCTCAGTACACCGTTTTGTTTTACTGTCTTCAGCAGCGTGCGGTTGAAGAGCTCTCTCCTTAGTTCTTGTTTCTGACGTGCTAATTTTTCCTGCCTCCTCCTAGTAACGAAGACAGTGTGCGCAGAGCAGTGTGATGGACGGTGCTATGGGCCCTACGTCAGTGACTGCTGCCACCGGGAATGTGCTGGAGGCTGTTCTGGACCTAAAGACACTGATTGCTTTGTATGTGTGAGAGTTCTCATTTTTCTTATTTCCAGCAGTTACAGTGCAAATTCTCATGCTTTAATGCATGAAATTCACCATTTTAGTACCTTTTAGTATTTTGCATATATGCTCCCGGATTGTGACTGCGAATCTTATTATTTAATATTTTTCTCATTACGTTAACATTACTTATCTATTTAGTATTACCCATTAACAGATTTATGAGGTTTGTAAATACAGTTTGGGAACCATTAATATGCTAATCTCTGATTTTTATCTTTTGCTTTTCTAAAATTAAGTTTTAGAGGTGATAGGGAATTTTTAGAAGTATTTATCATTGCATTTGAGCATGGCTTTATTACTACTCTCTGTGCTTTTTATTTGAAAGTCAAGAATACAATTTCGCTTCTCTGTGAAAGGTGTTCCTATTGCTGCCAGACTTGATTTAAACTCACCTTTTTACCGTTCATCCTTCTCAGTGGGGATAGAAGGAAAGTGGTTTCCGATATAGTCTACTTCAAATATAGGATACACGTGTTTAAGATGAAGAGAGAGAAAAAGAAAGGGCTAATTTTTTCTGAAAGATAGATGATCTAAACATACATACCTTTAGCCAAATTTGTCTCATTTGTTGTCCGTTACGTTACTCATAATAGACCAAGCAGCCTCGGCCCCCCCCATGCTGGTTGCAAAAGCGTTTAGCTCATCACGGTGTGCTGCAGAGACTAGTTTTGCTAACGTTTTCAGAGGAAGCAAGCCTACGCCTGAACAAGTCTAGAACAAGCGTGCACACGGAGAAGGGGATTTTCAGAGGTGTCTGAGCCATTGAAGAGACAAACGTCTATTAAGCGGAGTAGGCTCGTTTTAAAATCTGCCCGATAGGATCGAGAGGAGATATCTTATGGTATGGACAGTTGCAAATATGTTGATGTTATCGGCAAATAATAGTAAGGAACTGGCCAAAATGAATCTGTTCCTGGCTGGACCTGAAACTTGCCCGCTGTTATCATGTCATTTGATAGCAGTACACATTGTGCTTCAAAAACACATTTTAAATCCTATTCTTTTACTCCTGTGAGATTTTAAGATACAAAATCCAGTGATGGCCTGACTTAATCACTGACAGGTTTTACTAAAAGTGATGTTTCTAATTGGGGCTGTACAAAGGTTCCAAGTTGGCTTTGGACTAGATGTGTGAAAATAACATTCTTGGCCATGCAATGTACAGTCTAAGTAGATAAGGGAAAGGGGAAAAATGCGGTTATACATGATATATGTGATAGTACATGATAATATATAGATAGTAGAGTATATGATAATATATGAGAGTAGAGAAACATGCTCAAAGCTGAGAGGTTGAACCCCCATTTTCCAAGTCCATCTGAGAAGGTTAAGAACATGTCATTTAAAGTGTGACTACTGTAGTACTGCAGCCTGTAAGAGAGCAAGTTCTGTTTTCTGAAATGTGGCAGTTATGGTTGAGTTTTAGCACACCTATTTCCATAGCATGTTTGTTCTGATCCAGTAGGGAAACACCCAGGACTCTATTCTCATTCACTCCTGGCCTCAGAGCAATGTAAAGAAATTCCCCAGGGGTTTGGAAATTTTCAAGTCTATTCATTACTTGCTTACTACACACTGAGTAAAAAGTGTAAGCCTTTGGACTATAAACAACTGTGCTCAGCTTTTAGCTGAGAGACCTTGATTTTCCCCTATGTATGCCCCTGTGCTTTCATTCACATAGCAGCAGCATTTAGCAGCAAATGCTAGAAGCTCGCCTATGTTACTGAAGCAATTATGGATGTATACAAAGCGTTATAAAACAAAAGTTCCCGAGTCTTCTAAATGGACTGCTCCTGGAAAGTGCCATCTCAGAGTAAGGTAACACTCAGAGTTAGTGTGCTTTATTTTGACTGTGCATTTGCTGAACCATCATCAGAGGGGTGTCATGTACGTGACAGAGTACTTGCTAAGCAGCAGTGGATGTAGAAAATGTGTTGAGGAAACAAACTAAATTAATGTTTATTAATAGCAAAAGTACAGTTGATGATGCATTGAAAATCCTTTAGCATATTATGGCAGCCTTTAATAATATCCTGTTGTAAATATGGTGTTAATATTTCTAGATAAAATTCATCCATCCTCTTCCGTATGCTGCTGTACAATCATTTGTGTATTCAGTTCTAAAAGGAAGAGAATAATCTTTTTCTGAGTTAACTGCAAGCAAACATGCCGAAACAACGTTTTAGAGATGGTCTCATCTTGGATTCAAAGCCGGTCTGGATATAAAACTTGAAATGCGTAGCAGGGCCTGATCTAATGCCCAGTGAAACCAGAGAAACGACACCTCCCTCTATTCACAGAGTGGACTTCCCATTCAGTTCTTAATAAAGAAGTAACTGACTTCTTTTTATTTTTGTAAGATAATTGTGGAGCTGTGAGAAACTGCTGGTTTTTGTAACGCTTATGTTAAAGAACCGGAAAAGGCAGGATCAGTTTGGCTTACCTGCAGGCTCCTGAGGATCATGGAAGCTAGTACTCCCTGTAAGGTAGCGGCTTCACCATGGGACTCCCTGTTTGTCCCTTTCAACCGCAGATTTATCCTTCCTTGGTTACATTATCACTCTCTCCTTTCTGAAATCTTCTGACGTGACAACTAAGCTGCCTCAGTCCACCTGCTCCGGTACATTCATGATCTGAATGGAGATGAGATCTGTTAGTAAAAGCAGCAGCACAGGGAATTTCTTTTGCAGTTTTCCTGCAGCCCTACCTGGGTGATAGGGGAAGAGGGCTTCTTGTTATGCTTCCTAACTCTTTAACGATGCAAAAGCACCTGGCTAGTTTTGAATCCTTGAAAAGAATGGGAAAGCGTCATCCCTCGACTGAAACTTGAAAAGCAACCTGATGCCTGGAAGACAAGTCAATGGGGAAGCAGAATCCAGTAGCAATGGTTGCTTAAAATGCTAGAGGGATCCAAGCCAGGCTACAGCTTTCATATTCATGTGAAATTTGACACTCGACACTTACTGTTTGTGAATTTTACTCCTGCATTTTTATAAATAGTGGTTATAACCGTAGACATGATGTGTGGTGATAAGAAATGTCAAAATCAGTGGTTTTTTCCTATTACTAATTATCAGCCTTGCATAGTCAATTATTTTCCCTGCATACCATTACTCTTTTTTATCCACACACTTGCCTCTTCATTTGTCAGGGCCCTGTCCTCTGTCAGCTGCGGGTGGCTGAGCTTGAATGCTAAGTGATACAAAGTCCTATTTTCTCTTCCCAGTGTGTGAAGCAACTGACCTCGTTAAATGTGCCACTTAGGGAAATGACCCCCTCCTGTGCTAGCTCAAAAGAAGCTCTTATCCCTGTTGCTTTCTAATTGGGAATTTCAGTTTTCAGCTGGACTATGGACTCGTGCTGTAAGAAATCAAAAGGTTGGACCTCTAAGGAACAAATCATTAGCATTTGTTTAGACCAACTATGATAAATAGCTGTTCACTCTTGGCAGTTTTAGAATGCCCTATCCAGTAGTGAATTAGTTGATTACTAGTAGTAACAATAGTTATGAAACAAATTACAATTTTGTTATGTTTTTGTAGGAAGTGTGGTAACACTGTGTTTCAGTGTTGAAGGGGGTCTCTCTGAGCTCCCTTTAATGTGTCATGTATTTGCCAAGGTCCTAGCAAGAAATCTCAGTAGCCGAAATGAAGGTTAGAAAACTGCATATCCCGTTCCTCATTGTTGCTACTTCTCAACACTAGTGCTGAACAATCAAGACTCTGTTTTAAACTAAGTAAATCTAAAAGCAGCTATTTTTTTCTTCCTCCCTTGCTTTGCAGGCCTGCATGAATTTCAATGATAGCGGAGCATGTGTCACACAGTGCCCCCAGACGTTTGTGTACAATCCTACCACCTTCCAACTGGAGCATAATCACAATGCCAAGTACACCTATGGAGCATTTTGTGTCAAAAAGTGCCCGCGTAAGTGCTGTTAGCTGTGTCACTCACTCCACATGTGCTTGCTGCCTGTAATAACGCGGAAAGTGTTGGCACCTGCAAATGTCATTCTTTTAAATTAACAAATGACCAAGTGCCCTATACTAGAGTGATGGTTTACAAAAAAGGAATTCACTAGCTTTCTGTTCTGCATGACAGCCACTTGTTACATTTATGCTTTTGATCAGCACTTGTCATTTTGAAAGTGTTAAACCTGTTAAAATAGTGCCAAAAGCCATATTAAATGGTGGCATTGTAAAAGATACAAATTTTAATTCCAGAAAAATAACAGCACACAGCTAGCACCAAATACTTTTGTGATGTTGTTGCCCTTTTCTTAATTTGGAATAATACTTGTTGGAACAGAAGTTATCATAACCATTTTCTGAGCAGTTCTGTCCTGGTAAGGGAAAACCATGCAATACTGGCAGCAACGCAGTCTTAAAACTCCAGAGTAAAATTGTTGTAGCAAGGGAGGGATGCCAGATTATTATCTTGGAAGGTGATCAAAGATTTAAAAAACAATGAACCCATGCGTGCTCAAAACATGCTTCTGAGATACCCAGCTTGAAGACAACACAAAAATTTTTTTAGAAGGCCCTCGTTGTCAGTCTTTGATACTGTAGTGTCAGAATGCAAAATAAAGGGTGGACAGTGTTCTTGCTCTCCCTTTCATTCCCAGCAAGGTTTACAGTGGTAGTGCACATTGATTATTTCATAGTTAAATTATGTCTAAAAAGAATGGGTAATTTATAACCAATAGAACCATAATTCAGCCCACAGCGAAATCCAAATTTTGAAACTCCATGGAGAAGTTCAGATTGACAGTAGAATTAGGCTGTGACTATCAAAGTTTACTTTGTCTCCAATAGAAGTTATGGTTTGGGTTTTTTTTTTAGCAAGATAAAATATTTTACTAAAGTGTAACCCCCTTTGACTGTTGTTTTACGAGGCAAAAATGAAGTAATTGTCATCGTCTCCTGCGGTATTGTATCCCAGATGTATATGTTTTTGTATGTGTGAAAGAGGATAGAGCATCTTGTTTTATTTCTCTCCTATTTCTGTAGCTGTTGTTACCTCTAACAACCTTGTTAATAAAACCCACCTGGGGAGGAGGGGGACAGGGACTGATAATTCATGGATTTTCATGGTCAGCAGAAAGACATGGCTAATTTTCCTACTTAGGTGCTTTTGAAAACATTGAACATGACATGTTAATGTGTAAGTGCTGAAGCAAAGAATAATATGTACTGGCATAGAAGCCAAAAACACATGTCCCAGTATTACTTAGTCCAGTGAATCACTTTCTGTCAATATTTTCTTCTTCTTTTCAGACAACTTTGTGGTAGATTCGAGCTCTTGTGTTCGTGCATGTCCAAGCTCCAAGATGGAGGTTGAAGAAAATGGTATAAAGATGTGCAAGCCCTGCACTGACATTTGTCCTAAAGGTAGGCAGTGATTTAGTATAGCTTTTTTTGAATGTTGTCTGTGCTCTACTAGAGCAAAGTAGGATGTTGTTTTGACATTAAATATTCTCCATGAGTAAGCTGCAGAATACTTGATATTAACAGCCGTTGGGTATCCACAGACCTTTGAACTACGTAACCTGCATGTGAAGCGTATTCCTAGATATAGTGCAATGAAAATTTATTAAGTTGCAATGGTAATGCAATCAAAACCATACTCTTGCTTTGGAAAAAATGAGAGGGGATGTTCTTTGTTGGTTTGAGAGAAATCTGAAGGGATTTTTTATTTTGCTATTTTATGGATAAGTCTTTCCTAGAGTTGTTTTAGAGCTCTCCTTTTGCCATACGAAAGGGGGACGCTACTAAAACCCTGGCTTCAGCGTACGGTGTGTCTCATAGCTTGTCAGTGTAACATTAGCTCTCCGTTTATTTACTCTGTTCTCTAAAAGCATCTCTCTTTTCACAGAATCTTCTACCTCCTTGCTAAGTATTCTTAAACCTAGACAAAGTTTTTTATGTAATGGTGCTGATGAAAAGACTGAAATAGATAGAGTACTTTGCTGTCCCAAGCTCCCTTATGGGGACTTTCTGCCTCCAGTTTGAAGGTCTTGGAAGCAAAGCACTGTTGGTTTTTCCTACGTGGGCTTATGCCATTTTAAGTGCTAGTGTAAGGCATATCTGGAAAAGAATTCACGATGAAACTACTTAAAACCCAGAAAATCATCAGTCACTCTATCTGGCTGAAACAAGCTCGGGGTTCTGTCGAGGCTGGGTAGTGACATACTGAATTCTGTGTAAATGCAGGGTTCAACTCCTCGGTCTGGTTGTGGTAAAGAACTTTCTTGCAGAGGCATAGCATTTCACGCATAAAAATATGCATCTAGTGTTCCTGTCAGGCCCTTCCCCTTACCCAAGGGGAAGGAGGAGAGTTATCACTTGTATATAAAGGGTTCAGGTGTGCTGCTGTTTGCTACCATTGAAGGAGTCCGGTAAGAGAGAGAGAAATGTTGTCTGATGAAGTTGGGAAAGTTTTGTTCCTGGATGCATCACGTTTCCCAGAGTATGCAACTTCAGAGTTACAAAGGCCACACAGAGAAGTTTCTTCACAGGGTACCGAAGTTTCTCCAGGCCCCACTCATTTATTTAACGGGGTGATGAGAAAATATTTCTTTATATTTCCTCTCTGAAGGACTTTGTGGCATGTGAATGATTACGTTCACAGGTCCGTCTGAGTGAAGGTGGCCTACTGGGCTAGGAATATTAGGACCCCTCAGTTTCTGCCATGAGCAATGCACAAAGAAACGATATGGCTGGCCTAGTCTGAGCTAGGTCATCAGATATGTTTACAGCTGGCTTGAGTGGGAGTTTGTGGGTTCATAACTGTGTTTGGATCCAGTGTGAAACACCTTAACCTGTTTGCCAGGGTACCTTTCTGTGGCAGGTACACAGCACTCAAGCATATTTCTTGCTTTAAAAATTTGCACGTGCTTATTTGAGAATATGGTGTAAAGAATGCCTTTTTAACACATTGTTCTTACTTTATCTTTGGAAGAAATGAAGACTGGTATCTGGAAGGCCAGCATGTGCTGATTCAGTAATTGTTTTTCCTATTTCTTTACACAAACTCCTTGTTTTGGCAGCGTGTGATGGCATTGGAACAGGGAGTTTAGTGTCAGCTCAGACGGTGGATTCCAGCAACATTGACAAGTTCATAAACTGTACCAAGATCAATGGCAACCTTATCTTTCTTGTTACTGGGATTCATGGGTAAGTGACAAAATTTTAAGATGCTGTGTCATGGTGCCAGCTGAAACAGATTGTGTCCACCTCTTAATTATGGCTGCAGGTTTCTTTCGCTGAATAGCAGATCCAGGATAAATTAGTTTTCTGCCTTCCGTTGTGAAGGAATACTCCTAACCTGATACTTATAGTTCAGTTTCTGTGAAAAGAAAAAGAAAGGATGAGGTAGACTGCTGGAAACAGAAGAGACAACTGGGATCTGTGGTTACTCTGAGATCTTTGTGTTGGGCTACGATAACAGCTATTTAGAGGAGAAGGGAGAAAGGAAAGTTACTTTCCATTAGTTTGTTTTAAATTTTGTATAACCAGTGACCTAGTGTGCAGAATGTGGAGAGTGCACCTCACCTGGCGTAAATTGCCATAGCCTGAGGGAGTATCACCGCATAAACATGCAGAAAAGCTGCCCTCTCGTCTTTGAACCTAACAACAAACAGTTTTGAAGTATATATTCAAATTTCAGTTGTAGAGATCCGCACAACTTGGTGGTATTTAGATGCAGTGTTTTGGTTTCAGTATGTCAGTGTATTGAATAAATCTTAATCATGGCTGTAAACATGGAGATAGAGAACCAATATTTGAAAGTCTCACCAATTTCTCTCTCTGAAGAAAGAGATACCAGCCACATAACTAGTGTCTTACTGTTTACATTTGGATGCACTGTGTGTTTGCCGTTATAGCAAAAGTGAACGCATGGTTCAACACCACAAGAACGGGATGGGTCGGGGGAAGCAAACGTATTCTGTTTTGATGGGCAGATGATGTCCAGTGCAACTAGCCATTTTCTTTCATTGTCCTCTTTCTGTCGTTATGAGAACACAAATATGGTTACATCTTCCTCCTAGTTCAGCCTTCATGTAATTGGCCGTGGTGAATTACGTGCTATGCTTTGAGGTATTTCAGGACCCATTAAAATGAGCAAAATCTTGAAAATCTTTTAAAAGCATGAATAAGTTGAAACCCTTGAATTTTAGTGTTGGCGTGGTACGCTAACAACGTCACGTATGCAATTAACTTCTATCACTGCAGAGGCTTCATGTTTTAACCTGCTCTTGTAGGCTCCTCAGAGCTTTCAACATTAGATGCAGCTGGCTGGCAACGTTTAAGGCCTTAGTACAGTTCTCTGACCAGCTCCATGTTTGCAGCGTTGTGGAATAGCGAAAGCGTGGTTAACTGAACTTCTGCAGACTGAGCTGAAATGGAATTCCAGCAGGGCTAATGTCAGCAGATGTTTCATTAGCCTTTCTATAGATTCAGATATGTTTAGATAATGAAGTGGTTGATGCTAGGCTGCACGGTTCAAACTTACTTACTAAGTGAGGTGGAAAGAAATGGCTTGTTTCCTTGATTTGATACAGTGATTGGTTGTAATGCTTCTTTGCCTACCGCTTGACTCAAACCATGCAGAAGACAGTAGAAAAGCCCCTCGACTGGGGCACTACAGCTCTGTGATTCTCAAAGGCCAGCGAGTGTGAGGTTTAACTGTGTAGCTGGTCTCCTCCTCTGTAAAGCGGGGAGTATAGCGTGAACAGTTAATTGTGGCATAAAATAAAGCGTAGGGAAGGAGAAGGGCTTTGGTCCAAGTGGTGTAAGAAAATGCCGCTTCTGACTTGGGGAAGCACTGGAGAAGGTCATGCCGGAGACAGTACTCGGGCCTTCACGCTTTCTGGTGTGCTCCGATGACCACCCAAGAAGCTGGCCGTGAATGTGTTTAAACCTCCTATTTCAGGAAGTATGTTAGTAAGTGCAACGCGAGTGGCTAGATAACTTGAGCAGTCCATGTGGATTACTTGGTGCATTAAGTGAAATGCAATTTTTAGTACTAGGCATTAGCTGCAAAAGGTATGTTATACTAATTACAAAGTTATGAGACAAGTAACCTTAACCAGTCTACCTAAATTAAGGGCAAAACCAACTTGGAATAAAACTATATTCGTCTCAAAAGATGTAAATTATGAACTGTAAAGCAGGGAATTCAAATATTTTGTTTCATTTTAATAGAAGAGTATAAGCTTAGGACGCTTAAGCTGGAACTATGTAACATTTAGTCTCTCATTCTTTGTGACAGAAATTGACTCCAACCAGGAGTATCAGGACACAGAGTTCTGAAAACCTAAATTTTTCCACAGCAATAACTTATGTTATTACAAGAAGAGAAGGATATTTGAGAACTAATTAAAATAATTTTATATATCTGGAACAGCTTTTTGTTTAAAATTGTTATTACATTTTGCAAATAAATAATATTATGGAAAGGAAATTTTAAAATGGCACTAGTAACAACAACAATACATATTTCTGCTTGCACTTTTAATTAACTTTTGACATCAATTCATATACTCAGTGAATTGTAGCTTTAAAAAATACGAACTTTCAACATTTCAGATTGCAGGGTTTTATAGTCCAGTGGTCTATGGGGAAGCGAAAGGTGTTTTGTAGTGGCAGAGAGCAGCTTTAGTGGTAGCTGTGCAATTGCAGTTGATCCTGCAATATACCAATTTGTATGCTATCCTTCCCTTTCCTAAATACTTGAACCTCAAGTCTCTGTTTATCATAACAGTATATAGGCAAACTAAATGATTAGGAATTGTTTGCATGCACAATTATTTATAATTGTTTACATACCAAGTACGTAATTATGAATTGTTTCTATATACTTTTGCTTGTATCAGTTGCTAAAGTAACACAGAGCCATGGCAGAACTGCTAACGTCAGTGTGTGTCTTTCCATGTACAGATTTGGTTACAATTCTGGGATAAGATCCATACAATCTAAATTTGGACATGGAGCTGAGGTGTGTGTATGAGGAGTAGAGTAATATTCTGCAGTCAGTGATGGGTACCTTCGGAGCGTGATTCGAACGTTAGGTGTCGGGACTCGCCCTCAGGATATGTCCCTTTCTATGCCCTAAAGATGGAGGGAGCCTAGAATCAAGAGGTTCCTTAGGGACTTTGATTAGTGCCTTGAAGTGAAGTGGGATGAAGGTAGGCCTAGGTTTCGGTGAGTCAGTAATACTCATTCTTTTACGGTAGTACTCTGTTGAAGTCATTAAGTTGCATACCTGCTGCCTGAAACGGAGGCAGAAAACACATTGGCTAGAAAATGGGTAGACCTATATAGCTGGGATGTAGCCTTCTCTCTACTACCTGTTTTCCTTAGATTGAGGTCCTAAAAAGCCAAGCTACCTTCCCCTGGTATTGCTGCCTCTGAAGCAGGGGAATATACCAAGGAGAGCTGTAGTTTAAGGACAGTCCAAGCTTTCAGCAATGCTGTCTCCTTCTTCCCCCAACAGCAGCAGGAGCAACCAGCCCAGTTCCCCAGCACTCGCCAGCTTTCGTCCTCCCCTTACTTGTCCCTCTCTGGTTTCAGGAGGAGCTGCAGCTCTCCTTCTTGGGGCTGTAAAATTCAGTTATGCCTGTTCTACTGAGAAATCTTGAAAAATCTGGCTCTGCTAATAAGAATGGTAATAGATGACCGCGTTATTCTGTGGTTTTGTATGTTGATAAAACAGCTGTATCGGACGTGTTGGCTGTTTAAGGGTTTAAATGTATATCTTAAAAGACTGCCTCATCTTGGGATTTGAAGGTTAAATTCAGTGACCTCATGTTCAGTACAAGCAAGGCTTTTGCATTTTTAATAATGAATTTTAAAAGCAACATGGCAAGCATATTTTCGACAGTCAAAACTTGTCATCTAGTTTTCTGAGAGCCCCAAGTTGTTGAAATGAAGCACGTGATGCTTCTGTGCTCCACGAAGCTTAACGTTAAGATTCAGAAACTCTTTTTGCTCCTGCTAACCGGGAGGCAGCTCCACAGCGGTTAGAAGCGACACCAGTCTCTCACCCCAGACTTCTGCCGCCTCTGTCTCCGTGTCTCCAAAGACAGCCTGGTTGGTTACCTGCACGTTCCAATTCCAAACACGATGTCTCTTGGAAAACGGAAGGAGAGAGGGACAGGCATGCTCCACCTTTCCCGAGGTGGTTTTCTACCGTCAGAAAACCCACAAAAATATCATGTCATGATGTTATAGAAGAACCCTTTTTTGGATTTTTTTGAAAGACTTTTTGTTTGGGTTAATCTTCCAGTGGGCTTCTTACGTAGGGAGGGAGTCATGGTGTACTATATTTCCTCATGGTGGACACTTTCCAGGAGAATGCTCCTTGCTCCTTTCAAATTTTTTAAAAACGTGTTTGCTAAATGATGGCACTCTTAATCGAGGTCAGCTTCAGGTTTTTATAATGTGGCATACCTAACTTAGAGATTTTAATATTTGAGGGAGGTATTTCAGTTCTCACATGAAAAATCTGAGGGGCTTGACAAGGATCTGCACTTTTTGATGGTCCCCGTTCAACACCTTATAAAAAGTGTGCCCTTCTAATGTCACATGTCAGGCACTGCTGGCATGGTTTTAGTTTTGTTTCGCTTATAGCTTGCTTCTCGTTTTAGTAGCAGTTTGTCAATCCTAGTTGTAGGGTATTGCAACTGCACCATTCGAGCTAGTCTTGAAAAAAAATTTTTGAAAATGAGCGTCTTTCCTTTAGGGATATCGTCCATGGTTGTTTGGAATCCATTAATTTTCAACAAACATAAATATTTACTTAAATATTAATGGTTTGATCCTCAAAGATACTGAGCGCCATCATTTCCCATGAGGAAGACGTGGGAGAAGTTAGATGCAGATTCGGCAGGATCGACAGTCTAAAGAAACTGGAAGATCCTCTGGGGCATATGTTGCCTGAAAGCAAAGTGGTGACCTTCTGAATACTGCTGCTGTGTGGCGTAGCTTTGTGAACTTGACTTTTTTTCTATTTCCTCATTCAGAGCATCACGTTTTGTTCTTTTAATCTTTCAGGGACCCGTATCACACAATTGCTGCAATCAATCCAGAGAAATTAAATATCTTCCAAACAGTGAGAGAGATAACAGGTAACACACACTTCTGATGCCATATAATCTTTCTCATCTCTTTCTCATTTTGCATTCATGGCAGACATTTGTTGGCTTTTTTTTTTTTTTGAAGAACACAGGATGCTTTTTTCTTTAAACTGACTGTGCCAGAAATTTGATAGAAGTGTAATACTCAATAACTTCAGTATCAGTTGTTATTCGCAAGTGTGTTGTCTTTGTTCTCATGAATACAGAATGTCCCATTACATCTGGGAGGTTTGCATAGAAACATCAGAAAACCAAGACCTTCCTGTTAAGTGGGAGATAGGGCTTGGCTCCATGCCAGCAAAATGGGGCCAGTATTACAAGGGGTGACTAGTGAGGAAAAAGGTGCTGTAATGTGAGAAACCATTGTCTTCCCTTGAAAGCATTTGAAAAAGGCCTAGGGAAAAAAGACAAGCAAGTCTATTTTTGCAGTTACTTCTTTTGATCTGGCAGCAGATGATGCTGCAAATCTAGCTTACGTAATTTAAAATCAAAGTATAATGGGTGACGTAGTAGCCCCTCCCATCTTTTGTGACATTTCAGCAGGGTCATATAGCTAGAAGTCTGTACTTCCTGACAAGAGTTTGCACCTTGCTTGCTGTTGTTTCAGTGTTTGGGGGGACAGGCGGGAAGATACTGACAGCTTTGAGTTCTCAGTTGATTACTGATTGTGTACGGATAGGGAAATACAAAGGAAGTTATTGGCACTCAAAAAAAATCTTTGGCCACTGCAGCACAACCGTAGCTGAGGGGAGCTCAGCAAGTGTTTGGCATTTGAAATGAGTTCACTCCCACTTGCTTCACCTTTCAAAGGATGTGAATTGTCTGTCATCATCCAGAATGATTTCAGTGAGACAGTGGGATTATAAAAATGAAAATAAGCTCTGAATCTCTCCCTAATTAATGTCACAGATAATTTGGCACCTGGTTACCTATAACCATTGACATTCTTTAAGCATATCCTCTAATTGACAGTCTCAGCTCTAATACTTAAGTGGAACTACCCCTATGCTGAAGGAGGTACTGCATTTAAGTCCTGTACTGAAACAAAATCATAGGGAATAGCACTCTGTAGGTGTCTGTCTAACACAAAATAGTTTCACTTGCTATTTGTGCATAACAGTGTTCTTCAGTGAAGAACTGTCCTCAGACACATACACCAGTGGATGTGCGCTCTTTGTTTAGAGAAAGTTCTGTTACCTTCTAATGCATCAGAATAGATTTTGCAACTTCTATCCCAAGTCTCTGGCGCATCTTAAAACTCATGTTCTAAATTCTGGCAACTCTTCATTCTGTTTCCTACTCTTGTTCAGAAAAGGCTGGAACGCCTTGTAAGATTTCATCTTGGATGTTTCAGATTTGCCCTAATTATAGATGTTGAGAGCGGACTAGTGCTGAGGTTGCTGCTGTAACAGTGCTATAATCCTTCTTTGCCTTCTTGGAGGAGACGGTGCTGAGCAGACTGATGAATTCAAAGACAGCACTCTGCAGCATTCGTTACCTACTTATTTCTTTTTCCCAAACAAGCACGGTCTTTGGGTTAAAGGCTGAGCCTATCCTAATGCATGTATGTGATAAAACAGACTTTATGGGTGAAATGATGGACATTCATCTGTCTGCTTTTATCTCCTTCAGGGTATTTGAACATACAGTCGTGGCCTGAGAACATGACAGATTTCAGAGTGTTTTCTAACTTGGTAACTATTGGTGGAAGAGCTTTGTATAGGTAAGGTGTACTCTCTATCCGTGCAATCGTTCTGCCGTGTTACCAGCATTCAAAGATTCTCTGTTTAGCACCATAAAATGCAACGTCCTTTGGGAAAAGCATAATAAATTCATTTGTTTTCTCCTGTTCAAGGAATTCATTAATAGTATTTTTGTTTGCTCATCCCTTGTTTATGATAGCAATATTTTTTGAACATAGTGTTTAAAAAAAAATCAAAACGTTTTCGCTCTTGTAGCCATTAACTCATTGTCCAAAAAATACTTTCTATGGTGGTGTGCGCAGTCGTCATAATCTGCTGTCAATTTTAAAACACTTTATTGATGATAACTTAAAAAGAATTAATAACAGAGCTTAACTCGGCTATCTGGCAGCTCATACTGATTCGTTGAATTCTGATTTGAAGTGCAGGCTCATGTGCTCATAGAACGCTCAGAGATCTGTGACGTTCATTGCAGCTGGGGCCTGCGTTGGCTCTCTGTTTCCATTTTTACAAGTGATTTTTGGTGTGAAAGCTGATATGGATGAGTTGGTTTTGTAGAGAAGCAAATACAGCAAGAAATAATGAGAGAGTGCCGCAGGATACCTATGTGATATATACAGCAACCCCCGGTTCCCGATTGCGTAAATGGAGTAAATCAGTCATGGTGTTTTGCTGACGTCTTCAACAGCCCAAGCAGATTATGAATAGCACTGAAACCCTGCGATTGAATTACAGCCCGGCATTATGTTTGGAAACAACAATTTTTATTAAGAACAGCTGGAAAACAATTATAATCATTTAATATATTAACTTAAAGGATGCCCAGAACCTGGATATTGGCCTCACTAATTTTCAGTCGTAAAATACGTGCAGTCATTTCCATGTTACACAGACAATCATTTGCTATTCCTTTGATGAAGAAAAGAGATAACCAATATTACAATAAAAGAAAAATGAATTGTAGAAAGTGAACTCAGAGTCTCCTTAAAAATAACAATTTCTTCTCGTATTACTATAAATGACGTTAATTTGAATCCTGACAGAAGGCTTTAATATACTGTGCATGGCTTTGTCCGTTTCTCCTTAGCTTATAAAATATCAGAGTATTAATTGCATCTTCTTTACAAAAACAAAAAACTTCTATGTTTTCTTCAGTTTTCACAACAGCATTTCACTAAAAAAAAAAAAAAGTTAAAAGATGAAATGGAACTGTGTGTTACTTAGTTCAGTAGTAGCTCTGACCCATTTGGCGTAGTGTTGTGAGCATCACAGCTTGAAGTATCACAGTTCTCACGAGGCTCATAATTTTCTAGGCAATAAAACAGTGTGTATTGGCTCACCTAATACTTGTGTTGTCATTTTTACCACACCAAAATGAAAGCATTCTGACCAAATTTCAGTTTTGCAAAAAAAGGTCATCTTGCCATTTGAAAACCATTCCAGTGGGAAATTCCCAACCAGCTATAATAAATTCCACCTTCTGGCAATGATTCCTGTTCTCTTTTACTTTTGTTTTCATGACAGTGGCCTTTCTTTACTCATCCTAAAGCAGCAAGGCATTACCTCTTTGCAGTTTCAGTCCTTGAAGCAAATCAGCGCTGGCAACATCTACATAACCGACAACAGTAACTTGTGTTACTACCACACTGTCAACTGGACCAGCCTCTTCAGCACACCCAGTCAAAAGACTGTGATTCATCGAAATAAAAAAGCTGAAAACTGCAGTAAGTACTGCTCAGTCCAGATCTTTTTGCTGTGACTGGCTTACTGGTGGAAAAATGTCATAACTACTGAAGGGATGCAGTGCAGAGAGCAGGCCAGAAACCTGGTTGCTGGTGTCTCTTGGCATGAGCTCCATGGGCGTCAGTGGCGCTGCGATGATTTGCAGAATCTGAGAATTTGGCTCGTCTGCCTCTGATCAGATTTGTAGGCAACTGAAGTGTTCCAAAGTGTGAGCAAACGAAAGGGAGAAGAGAGAGGGCACTGCTCCCTTATGTTGATTTGAACCTCCCAGTATTAGAAATCCAGTTGTGCAAATATGAATTCTGAAGGCAGTAAATGTGCCGTGAACGTTGTGTTCCTGAAAAGCATTGATTTGACCACTTTGAAAATTGGAACCCTCTCCTTGTGGGATGAGACTAGCATCTTCTGCTTCCCCTACCCTGCTTCACCAAAGCAGCCCTGCCTTTTTTAGAAAGGTCACTTTTGGGACTGTTTTCGATCACTGTGTTCCTCCTTTCCATCCTTGACCTATCCAGTGAGGTTACTAGCAGACTTTTAATTGGGGCTAATTGTCCTTCTGGAAAGCTTGCATGGCGATACCTGAAGTAAGATCACAGTATCAAAAAGCAAATGAATTGTATGTAGCTGATGAAGCAGTTGAGTTATCCTGAAATCAGGCTGAAACTTGCATTAATACAGTCATATTGTGGCTGCAATATAGTTCATTGTAAGCATCTGTTAGACTCCCAACAAGAGGAGATTAATTATATTGCTGTATATTTTAAGTGATATTTCTTGGTTTTGTGCCTTGACCAGTCAGAAACGTTTGCTTTGAGATTTTTCAGGCTGTGATCCTACTTTTAACTTAGTCTTTTAGTTCTTTTCCTCCTCCTTTTGAAGTCCTGTTCTGCTTTGCTTTGAGAGAATTTGTGGCTTTGGCACAAGTCACTGTAGTATGAGGGTACCTTCCAATATTGGGTAAAACACAGCTATGCAGCTGTCTCTACTTCACTAGTTCTCTCATCTCTTCTGCCATTTGAGAGCTACATGAAGTTCAAAGTCCTGTTTTGGTAGATCTGTGGTTTTTGTTTTTATTATTTTGGTGTTTCTCTACATATAAGTTAAAAAAGTGAAGGTTAAAGAAATGCCTTTTGTTGTTGAAGTAGATAATGAAATTGTGATCATGCTGGAGGGTGCGGAGGGAAAGGGTTCCTTAACCTCCAGCAGGCCACAGCCCCCCCTTGTAAACTGCAGTATGCTTTAGCCTTTAATGTAAAACAATGTGTTGTGTCAGACGGAAGGGACGCGTTGACCAGAGTTTTCCTTGGTAGGAGTTTTTGGGTATGTTTGTAAGACGTGTCTTGGGCCTAGGCTGTAAAACTATGGATTAAGCCCCTAACGTTTGGTAAATGTTTTGTGGGAAGCTAATGCAGAAAGTGAAGGAGAGGTGCAACGTTTGCTGCTGCTCGTGTTGTGAAGAGGTTTGTGGGGGTGTCCTGTGCGCTGAATAGCTTCATACCCTGGCATGCTCCCTGCTGTAGTGCAGCCAAGAGGTAGCAAAGCCGGAGTAAATGGAACTGGATAGTTGCCTGTCAGGGTAGGATAGCTCTCCTAGTCATCCAGAGATGATCAAGCCCATGATGATGACACCACGTGGGAATGAAGTGTTGATGAAGAGTCCAAGAATAGTCCTGAATAGTGAAATAATTTAACCAGTTAAGGGACAGTCTCTCTCTGTTTTCAGCTCCTCCAACTTTTTCTTGTTCTAGAATAGCTTCAGTTGCTCGAAATCTACGAGCTTTGTATCATCATCCTAATGGCTTCTGTTGTATTGTTTTTCATTTTTTTTCTGTATCAAGGCCTTTTCCTTGCTTTGCGTTATTCTGAGGGTGAATATTATTTGAACGCTGAATAAAGCCAGCCTTGCAAGGGGAAAGCATGCATTTTCTGTCACCATCCGCTCCTTAGAAACTTGGAGGAAAGCTTCTGACCTCCCCTGAATAACTGGTGCCTACCTTCAGTCTCGCCAGAGAGCGCACGTGTAGGTGACCTGCAGTTCCAGGAGGCAGTTTGCTTCTTTTTGCTGCCTGCCACACAGAAAGCTTGCTCTGAAAAAACATGTATTATTTAGCAAATGGAGATGGTGCCAAGAAAGGCAATCGCGTTTGCCTGGGGATGGTAGAGTTGATGCAGCGCTGGTTGGTTTTCCCTGATTGACTGAGTTGGAGTGGAATAGGATCAAGTGATGGGGAGAAATCTACTTCTGTCCTAGCAGTCTAGTAACAGGTGGATTTCGTATTTCCTGACCAGACATATTAGCCCTTTGAGATTTCACGCAGGGAATTTTTTGGGCTGACAGAACAGAATGCGTCTGAAGAAGCGCACGATCCTGACAATTATGCGGGAATCAGTAGGGTTATGTTTTGAGGTCCCGCTGGTCCCATCTTGCTATGAGATACATGGACCTGTGAACTTTCTGGAGAGCGCAGGATTCTTCTCTAGCCTATGAGTATTCTTTCGCTACCATACAAAAAAACCCTGCTGGCTAGGGGAGAAACATCTTGTTCTTGGTGCCCTCTGCCATTTTCAAACAGCAGACCAGCTAAAACAGGCTGATGATAATGTTTCATTTAAGGAAACAGCAACTGGCTCTCTTCCATCCTTAGAGATTTAGTATGCAAATGGAAAAGCAGTAATAGAGAAACATAGTCTTCACATTTCATAGAGCAGTGGTTCCTCTTTGCTTCAAGCTCCGTAAAACTTAGAGACGATGTGTTAAAGGATGATGGAAAATGGCTCTGAGATGAACTTCACTTCATAGAATAGTGTCTCATTAGTTTCACTGTTTTGGAGTGCTTAAGGACTTGGTAGAACGCGGTATTTGGGAAGAGGTTCCCGCATTGGTTGTCCGGACTCCCTTATCAGATACCTCTTTGCCCTTTCCTGTGATGTCGAAGTTTGGGTGCTTTGGAAGTGGCCCACAGCTACTGAAACATGGGATTCTTGAGCAAATGGAAACTTGGATCCATTGTCGAACGATCCTCTTGCGTTGTAAGTCTTGTCACGACGTTTGCACACAAGGCGAAATTTGGAATTATTTTGATTTAACTGGTTGAATATTGGCTATAATATATATAGAGAGAATATATATATATAGAGAGATATATAAAATAATTTTTTTCCAGGATGAAAAAATATTCTTAAAGATATTTTATGAAATTTAACACCGTGTAAGAAATGAATAGAATGTAAATGGCTCTAAGGTGAACTTCATGCATGGAATTTGTTTTTACTTCATGAGGAAAACAAATCTCATTCATTTAATTTCATTTCAGCCAGTCACAATGTAAACTACCGTGAAGCATATGGACTCTAACCTGTGTTTATTAAATGGACTATATTTAATGAATATAGGCTAAGGGCCAAATTATTCTGACTGATCAGAAAACAGCGTCTTAGGTAGTTAACTTCCTGAGTCCTAAAAGGGGACAGTGTTTTTCTCTCTCTACGCACATATATGAACGGATTAATGTTTTGTCACCTTCTGAGAGAGGCAGCATTAGATGCGGAGAGCTATCCTCCTGCTTTTAACTCCGTCGATCAGTACCTCTCTGGAGTTAAATGCGTTCTGTTGCAGGTTAGATATCTAACTAAGATCTTAAAAATCACCTGGAGCAAGACAGAACTGCCCCTTAGAGCCAGGTGCAGTCCTCCAGCATCTTTTGAAATAGCTGTGATTTACAAGGTAGGCATCAGACTGGGATTTTGGGGAGTTTTCTCAGAGTCTTTGGCTGAATGTGTGTGATCTGAGGACAAGCCACTAGGATTCGAATTCCTGCCTTTTGGTTGTCTTGCCTGTTGTAGATCCTGATCCTACAGATGCTTTGGCATATGCCCATTGCCTCTCTGAGTGACGAATAAGACTCATCAGAATGATGAAGGTAAATACATAGGTAAATATTTGCAGGATCAGGACCCAGCCTCTGTGCTGGAAATACTACCTGTTTGCATGGTAGCCAGCCAGGTGTGAATTGTTAGCAAAGAGCATCCCTTTTAAGTTTTTTGGTTTGTTTCTTATGAAGAAACAACTGTAGACCGTGCTAATTATTAGAGCCACGTTCTAGTATGTTAAGTATTAATCCTTTGTACTTGTTGAGTCACTATCAGCTTGTTTTGCTTTCCTCCTACATAGTGATTACTAATAATTTAAAGCAAGTTCCAGCAAACATGAAGCTCATGGAACAGCTTCCAAGATATTCTAGTCAGCATCATATCTGAGTGACTTTTGTGAAACGTTGCAATAGGTGATGATACTCTGAAGATACCTGATGAGAGCATCAGATATCTTTCCCATACTATTTAATGCTGTGTACAGCTGAGTGTCTGAGCTATTAAAGTCAGTGAGAAAATACTGAAAATTGTTGAGGGAGTTAAATGCTTCAGGAAGAGTTCAGTCTGTAATAACATTTCCTGTTTGTGATAACTGACGTTAACATATTAATCAGTAGAGTTTGGTAGGACTCTGATTATTTCAGTGAAGAAGATGAAGTGAAGACAGTGGATCTCAGTCAGGGGAAAGTGCTACAGAATTGTCCAGGACACAAAATGTATTTTACACTCTTGGTCCTCCGAATTATCTCATCTTGTTGTGTGTGCCGCCACTTAAGAATCTGGAAGTAGTCACCCAACGTTTCGTGAATTCACATAGAATTCACATGGAAGGCCACCTCTGAGAAGGCTTTTCCAAAGGTTGGCAAAGAAAGTCTAGGGTAGACTTTCACCTTGTGTGCTTCACTTGTTTGTACAATGTTGCAAATACAGGAGGAGACTTTTTTATTATTATTATTTTAAACAAATCCATAAACCCCACAATTCCCTGTTGTGACTATATTGTTTTGCTAGTACTGTCTCATGCAGGGCTCAGGTGGGTGGGTACCTGGAAGGAGTGTGTTCTCTTGCTTCCCACCTTCCCCCCACACGTTTAGGGTTAGGAAAGTCTGTG